GTGGGAAAACACACAACGGGAATTTAAAAAATCTATTTCCTAGGTGGTTGTTTCCCTGCTTTCTTCTCTTTCCTTGCCCAATTCCCCCCATCCACCATCGCCACCTGCTTGCTTTCTCTTTAGAAATATACTGACATTCTGAAGGATACAGATGGAAGAATTCGATGTATTTGTAACTTTGTTTCAACATATCAACACTGAAATTTCATCCTCTTATGTAGCTAAAACTATATCTGATATCAGATTAATGAAGTAGGAAACCAAAGAAGTTATCTTTCTAAGTACAGATAAATCAACCTATTAAGGGAAACTGTGTTTATTAGTGTCTAAACTGACAATTTGACAGATTTTATTAGATGATTAGCCAGCACCTAATTTTCATATCACTTGACTGATAGAGTAGATATAAATTATGTGATTTAAAGAGTAAAATTGCTTTTTTACAATCCATAGGAAAGGAAGTAAATTGTAATAATTTCAATAACTGACTGAATGTAAAGGCAAACTGCTGGGGTTTTTTTAGCTTATGTAAAGAAAGTCTAAGACACATAATTCAACCCATTCTTTTCTTATTAAACACAATATGGAGTATGATTGCTTTCTTTCAAGTTTCTAATTGTCTTACCTTTAAATTAAAATTTGCCTTAATTCTTTGCCAAACTGCATGTTTATTTTCATTTCCTTTTTTAAAATGAATTCCTCATTTCATTCTCATTGGAGACTTCACAATTTTAGTCTGTACAATTTAGATATTCCCATGTAACATGAATTGCTTTGCTTCAAAATAAGAGATCAAACTTCCTGAAGAAAAACTCAAGATTCAGTATGTTATAGTGAATCAATAAAGAGTAGACATGATTCTTATATGCACAAAATATATATTTTTAACTAAGATTGATCAGCTGCAAAGATGTGATATTAAAAATTATACTTTGACTCTTAAGAATATTCCTTTAATGTTAGAATTATCTTTTTCGGACTCAAGTAGCTAATAAAATCATAACTTCGAACTCATGATAGCTCCCAAAATTCAAGTGTGTTCTCCTTGCCAATATCTTGACTATAGAATTTCCTGTTTGCAAACTTTAACAAAATCAGTTTCCTAACTTCAGGAAATACTTTGAGATTTAAAAAGCTGAATTTCCTGGTAGTATGATAAATTGACCTTTCAAAATTTAGATGAAAAATATGTAGTTTTACTTATTGTTACATTATATTTTCAAGTTTATAGTTGATATCTGTCATACTATATACTATATGAAAAATAAAACAAGTTAAATAGTATTAAGTGATGAAAATACTACTTAAATAGAAATATCACCATTAATTCTGTTTAAAATACATTTTTTGAAGAGAAATCCAAAACATGCTTGCAAAACTCTAAGTTTTAGAGAACATTGTATCACTGATTTTCATCATGTGATTTATTTCTTTAATGTACCTAGCATTTCATGTTAAGGCACTAACTCCATTGAAATACATTTGGATTTTATTTCAAAATCCATCGATAATGGGAACTAGAATATTCTATGTGAAGAAAAAGTTTATGTCACCCTAGATTAATTATCGTAGCAATGACTACTTAGAAATTATTAGGAATTCATGTATATGTTTCATTTAAAAACAAAAGCTTTTTTTTTTTTTTTTTGCTCTTTTTGAATATTTAATTTATTCTTTTTGGTTTCATTTGAAACCACTGAGTTCTGAGATCCTGAATGTGCAAAAACTTGAATGTTCAAATTTCAAGTCCCAATCTATGCCCTACCAAATTAAGATATTTAACAAAATAAAAGAAGAATGCTATAAGCTTTATAAACTTCCCTGAAGTGTTTTTTAAATTTATACTCTCAAATGTCAGTTAAGTATTTTCCCAACTATCATTAAACTAGCTTAAAAACAGTAAGTTTTAGTATCCTTAAGAAGTACCCCAAGTCTTTAGGATCACTAACCATCAAATAATTAGAAACGGAATAACGAGGGAATGGTTTCTTAAGTATAGTTTTAAATTTTCCGTTATTTAGAAAATTAGCAGGTATTTCATGGGTAGGGATGATATAGAACTCTTCTAGAATATGTAGGATGTTTGTGAAAGTTCAAACTTCTAGATCATTGGCAGTTAAACATATTGGTTTTACCCTTGGATGTTCAATTAATTCTTGTATCTAAAAGAATACTTTTCTGCAGTGTTCTTTGCAAAAAAGCAAAAGTACTTATACAATCTAAAAAGAATATTAGAAAAAAAATTAATTCCAAAACTAGCAGATACAACAATGAGGCAGGCCTTTGGGAAAAGTTGATCACATAGATCCTCTCATAGCACCAGTTTATTTTATTGTAATCACAGTGTAGGGGCCAACATTAAACTAGTTTTTAAAAAAGTTTAACTAGCTCAAAAGATGTAGCACATTTGGAAACATTTTAGCACATTATTTTAAATGATACTGTATCACTCTTCAAAAAATTTATAGATTAAAAATTATAAGCACTATATACCTTAATATTTACAGTTTAGAGTGCAAGATATATTTTTAACATGAAGACACAATATACTTTGTTATATTGTTGCACGTAATTGTTCTTTTAAGAGACTCTTTGAGGCCAACTTTAGTCTATTGACTTTAAGCCTGAAGAATTTTGTTACAATTTAGTGAAAGTTCCAATGTTGGTTTACAATGATCAAAGTAAAATTTTAAAGTAGTATTTTTTACTACTTTTGGAGTATATATATATATATATACAGTTTTTCTAACAACATAAAATGCATAGATTCTATTCTTGCAATATAGAGAGTCTACATCTGGGTAATAGTATCTTTTCATGATCACACTTCTATGTATTTCAATGGCTTGCCAAATACACACATGTTCTACATTTAAACAAATAGTTAATCCTGTGACTCCTTCAAAAAAAGGTGAAATCAATATACCTAAAGGAGCTCTGGTAGTGTAGTGGTTACCAGTCGGGCTGCCAACTGCAAGGTCAGAAGTTCGACATAACCAGTGGTTCCACAGGAGAATGATGAAAAGTTCTGCTCCCATAAAGATTTACAGCCTCGGAAACCCTGTAACAGGGTCACTATGAGTCAGAACCGACTCCACGGTACTTAACAACAACAACATATTAGAAAAAGTTTTTCTAGCATGAGGAAACATTATGACTACAATTTTTGTGTGAGCTGGAAATTTACCCATCACTTGGGCCTAACACTTGAATGTATTTAGACAGAAGAGGACAAATACTCCACCAGAAAGTACTTATATATGTGCAAGACAGTAACATGACAGCTATGATGGAAATCATCCTTTTGAATTTTCCAACTTTCATGACTACAAACTCACAACCATTTAATTTCCTCTTTTAAAATAATAGTTTAAACTCCATGTTCATACATTAATGTTTTCTTTTTAAACACACTAAAGTGAGTATGATTAGAATTATCAATTCACATTCTACACACCATTAATAAGTTTTATGCTGGGACATAAGATGTATGTATAATAAACATAATAAGCTTAGGTGTTGATACTGTTTTAACATTTATACAACTCTGTTAACTATTCTTTATGTAAATCAGGTATCTTGAAAGTTTTCAATTTACATTTTAGGACAGATGAGAAACATTGAGACTGGAAAGAAATTGAGAGGTGGGAATAAAAGACGAAAATTAATAGGTGTTTGTTTCATAAACACTATACTGATTTTATATTCTCACGGTGAAGAACTAATTCACATGACTTTAAAAGCCTTCAACCTGTTACTGATTCTAAATTACTCCATTTGTGCTCAGTTGTTGTGAAATGAAATACTCCCTTGTATTGGTGCAAGGTTAAATGTTGATTGTATTCATTAAAACACTTTCCTTTTTTCTAAGGAAAGAATGGTTCATATTGCGTTTTAAACAATCGCTCCTGAAGACTAAAATACTTTGTTAGTTCCTTATCCCTCCCCTCCACGCTTCAAAACCTTTTTTTCCCCTTACTTTATAAGTTTAAAATATTTAACAAATAACTCCTTTGCGTTTTTGTCTTTTAATGAATCACTATTGTTCTCCAGGCCAGACTTCATAGAAATGTAAACTTTATACTGTATTTGAATCCTTAAAATTATTAGCATTCGAAACAGAAATTCACTTCTAAAAGACCTTGCCATTCCCAACTACATTTTACTTCGAAAACTGTCTAATATAAATGTATTTTATGAAGGTTTTATTTCGTAATTGAAACTGGACCCATAGATACAGTGAGTACAGTAACACAACATTTGTATAGGTTTGCTTTTGAAAGACATTTGCAGCAGCAGATATGTTTTAATGGTCCTGTCAAATACGTTTATGAAGTTTATTAATCCTCCCAATTGCTCAAGTATATATACAGTACGTACACACACGATACACACACACACACACACACACACACACGCAGGAAAGAATCAATCGCTGTACTCCAAAAATGACAAGGAAAAAGAAAATAATATAATCATATTTCTACTGCCTCACTCATAAAAAAGCAGTGTTGTGGAGTTAAATTGGTGAGTTTAAATAAACAAAAACAAAACCCCAGTTGCCTTAACTAGGAGCTTCCCGCAAGGTTTCCTTCTGAGTGAGGAGCAGGGAGGGCATGGTTTGAGCTGGGAGCTGGGGGATGGGAATCCCGACACGATGGACCACAGGTCAAGGGGGTCTTTTAGGGAATTCTCTCGTGTAGACTGGCAGGAGCTGGTGACAACGCAAGGTGAGCACAGAGTAGAAGAGAAAGCAGCGAGCACGTTCACAAAGCGTCCGGGCCGCCCTTCTTGCTGAGGCACTGCCGCTCTAGGGGCCGGCGTGGGAGGGCTGGACGGAAGCGCGGCGGGCGGCGGGCGGCCGGGGTCCCGGGGTGCGGGGCGGGGAGGCAGACAGGCGGGGAGGCCCCAGGCGGGGAGGCCCGCAGTCTGAGCTGCCGCTTGGAGCCGCGTGCGCGCGCGGCCCCATCAGCTGGGCGCGCGGCGCGTGTCACGTGGTGAGCGTGTCGAAGGTCACGGCGCGCTCACAATGGAGCTCTCGGAGTATGTGCAGAAAGGCGTCCAGATGCTGGCGGATCCCAGCAGCTTCGACCCCAACGCCTTCACGCTTCTCCTCCGGGCGGCTTTCCAGAGCCTGCTGGACGCCCAGGCGGACGAGGCCGTGTTAGGTAAGCCGCTCAGCTCTGAGCTGGATCGGCCTGGGTGGAGGGGCGCTCGGAGAAGAGGAGCGAATCGAGAGAGAGAGAGAGAGACCGAGAGAGAGGGGGAAAGCCCCGGGAAGAGGAAGTCTCCGGGCTTTGCCCTTCGCTCCGGACAGAGTGTGGGGCTGAGGCTCTGCCAGGACCCCACAGCGCGGGTCCTGGGCATTGTTTGGACCCCAGTTGGCACCTGCACATAGCCAGCTACACGTTCTTGGCCTGATTTCGCCTCCCAGTCTCTTTGTTCCTTTGTAAAGCCCGATTGAAGTCTTATTTGTGGCCTAAACATGTATTTTCAGCCTGGTCAGAAGCAGCGTCTGTTTTGACACTTGGACTTCATCAGGGGAGCTCCCAGCAATTCAGGCTTCCAGTACTAGGCTGGCAAGGGCTTAAAAGAGTGTGTTTCCAACGCAATTACTAGGTCAAATCGTGTTGACATTTTTCCAACTTAAAGAATACCTCAAGTTCCCATGATCGCTGCAACACTTTATTTCAGTATGTTTTACATAGGCTCTACGCCTGGAATCTTAAAATTTAATACATTATACTTAGTTCCGCACCAATTACCAGGAGGCGAAGTCTCTTTTAAGTGGTCGGATCAGTGATTGCGGAGTGTATTGTCAGTAGGTATTAAAAACATTTTAAAAAAGATCGCTTTTAGATAATTTTCTTAAATATAAATATCCCAACAGTTCTTTCTTTAGTTTCACGAACTAAGCACTTGTACAAAAAGTATGAAAGTGGAAGCTGTCAAACGAAAATAGTAACCACCACCTGGGTTAGTCTCAAAAAAGGATAGCTGTCAAAACCTGAAAATATTTATATGATTTTCAAAATTGTATTTTATATTCTGAATTTGTACTCTCCCCTCTCTTAATGCATTAATGTCCATGGAGCCAGTTACCCCCAAACTGATCAATTTGTTCTAGTGAAAGTTTGTTCATTCTGAAATTTACATCACATGAAGTATTTGTCTCCTTGTTTTTCCCTTGAATTTACTCCATCCATTGTTACTCCATCCACTGTTTTGTTATTTTTTTCCTTGGTAACTATAGGATATGTATATTTTTAAAAGTAAAATAATTAAGGCAAAATAACAAAAGGTAATTGAAAACAGAAAACATAACTATTGATGTTCTTTTGCTTTGCAGTTGACTTTCTCAGGGCATTTGTTTAAAATTAAATCCTTACAGTTGAACTTTTTGTCATTTGTTAAAGGTTAAAATAAAATGCATGTTTTTAGAAACATGACTGAATAGTTTATTATCACAAGCATCACTGGGAATTAATTTGTTTTAGATCATCCAGACTTGAAACATATCGACCCAGTAATATTAAAACATTGTCATGCAGCAGCTGCAACTTGTATACTGGAAGCAGGAAAGCAAAGAGTTGACAAATCAACGCTAAGGTACAGGATTTATTTAAGTACCCATTTATTTTCAAATAGTACCTTTATGATTCCAATTTCATTTTCTAAAATAGAGACTAATTACACTTTATTTTTCTCTCTCTAGCACTTATCTAGAAGACTGTAAATTTGACAGAGAGCGAATAGAACTGTTTTGTACGGAATATCAGGTTACTAAAACTTATTAAAAAACTAACAGTTACTATTTTTCTCCTATTCGTTTTGCAAAATTATGTTTGCTTTTCTTGCCTTTTTCTTCCCCCCAGACTAATAAGAATTCCCTTGAAATCCTACTGGGAAGGTAGGTACTATATATATGGTGTCAAGCTGAGTCACTTTTCACTTGCAGGTATGAATGGAGAGTGCTGGTGTGAAACAAAACAGGGTAAAAACTAGGTTATTGACCAAAAGAAAAGGGGCCAAAGGGCGAGTGAAACAATTGAAGCTAATGTTTTTAAAGATAAAGTTTATTGAGATAATTTATTAAATACTTTTTTACTATTCAGAGCTTGAAAATAAAGTTTAACAATGTTTCGATTCAGATGGTTTAAAATAGTGGAAGTGGGGAGGTAGAGGTCATTGTTAGTAAAGATAGTGAAAGTTTTTATATAGATAATACAAAAGTGTTATTGTATCTTTTAGTATAGGCAGATCTCTTCCTCATATAACTGATGTTTCTTGGCGATTGGAATACCAGATAAAGGTAACATTTAACAAACTGCTCCCTTGGGGGATTAAGGATTTTTTTTTTTCATAAAAAAAAAAAATAAAGACTGATATGTATATGTTGTGTTGTAGACAAATCAACTTCATAAGATGTACAGACCTGCATATTTGGTGACCTTAAATGTAGAGGTATTTATACATAAAATTGTGTCTAAAAATTGAATGTGTAGCAAAAGTTAAAATTCATTTCATTTAAATAAACATTTTTTTTTTCTTCTTCCCTAGAACACTGATTCGGGATCCCACCCAGAGATTAGTTTTAGTTGCAACATGGAACAATTACAGGTATAGATAGCATTAGGGTCAGTGAATATGCCTATGTTTTTGTAGATGTTTAGTTGAGAATTATGCTTTTGGAAAGCTTAAAAGAAAAGCAATGTGGTAGTTTATCAGCAGATAGTGGAGACTAGATTAAGGATTTAGTAAGAAGGGAGCTTTCAAAGCAATATTTTAACTTAGATTTCACTTTGGAAACCGAGGTATTATTCATTGAAAACTGGCTTATGTTTACAGTCCCCTCCAATTAATATAAACTTATGAACTGTTGTTAATTATAAACTACTGAGGTATACATTTTTTTTCTGTTTAAGATGAGTTGATCTAATAGGAAAAAGCAGAATTAAGAGCATGGCTTTGGAATGGTCTTCTTTGCTTTCAGAAATTGAATTAAACTTTCAAAAAGGGATTTTTAAAATGACTTCTTGTAAAAGGAGAACTATACATTTAATTCTAATGCAGTTAAAATGAACAATTCAAGATTAGCAAAATTTAGAACTACATTTGATTAATGGCATGACAATTTATTTCTTAACACTTAAAAAATGTAGATTACTTGAAATGTTGATGAAATTGAATTTTTTCAAAGGTGTCTCTTACAAAATCATTTTATCTTTTTAGAAACTTGTAGCAAATACATAGAATGCAACCTTTGTTAGATAACTTGGAAATATTAATTTAGAAATACCTTCCCTGTTAAGAGGAGCCAGTAGAAATCTTGTTTCAGTCTGAGGGATTTAAAGATGTTACAGAAGTTCTTTAAAATATTTGACCTATAATGGTTTGTTTAAAGGTTAAAAATGTGATGACTTTTAAAGTTGCTTAGAGTGCCTCCTGACTTTTTTTGTGCATCTTTCTGAAACTTGGGTGGTACTTCCTTGTCTTACCTTAACGTTGCATTATATATATTTTATAGGATTTGGTGGGGAAACTTAAAGATGCTTCGAAAGGCCTGGAAAGAGCAACTCAATTGTGACTTGGGAAAGTTAGTTAGTCTGTTCGGGTCTAAAGAATAGAAGCACCTTGTCTTCAGTGGAACCCGTCGTAATTCTGGGAACTGAATGTCTTTGAACAGTTTTCTTCTTGTATTCATGCTCTTCATCAATTTTGACACTTTATTTTCTACTCTTGTAAAAAAGTTAAGAAAATATTGCCAGGTTGAATATTGGAATCATCTTTAACTGTACATTTTCCCCATGTTGATCTTTTTCGAGTTTTTGAGGCAAGTAGCCACTGTTAAGTATTTCATTCTGAATAAATAAGATGTTCCATAGACACAGGCACGGTATATTTTGTTTGGATTTGAGTTTGTGTTTATTACTTGGTGTGAATACATACGATTAGCGTTATACTTTAAAAGATCCCCATTTCTCTATTAAAGTGGAAGACAGTAGGAAAGAATAAAATATTCGGGGTTGATTGAAGAGTCCCAGTTTCGGGCTGCGGGGTTCCCTGAGGCTCCTAGGCGGGAGCCAGCTCACCCCGTTACCTGCGCCGGAAGACCAGCTCTTGCCCGACCTGCGGCCGCTGAACTCCCGAGGCCACCCTAGGCTTCCCAGGCCCAGGCCAATCCCTGCTTCTGCCGCCCGGCGCCCGACCCCCAAGCGTGAGCCCCTGGCTGGTGGGAGCCACTGCTCTGCCCGCGTGTGCCCCGCCTTAGCCGCCAGCGGGCGGGGGGCAGGGGGGCGCTGTTGTTTCCCCGAGCCCAACCCGGAGCAGGTTCCGAACCTACGTCGCAGCGCCGGATGAGTGGCAGCCCAAAAAGACTAGAAGGCCGGCGGGGGGTGGGGGGTTGTGGGCGATGGATGTGAGCGATCCTCACGGGAGTCGTTAGACGCTTTCGCTCTGGGTGGAGGCGGGCAGCTGAAAGAATAACGGGGGTGTAAGAAGGGTAGGGTGAACTGCGTGCGGGGGCCGGAGCGATGCCCGCGCCGAGCAGGGTGGCGCGTGTGGCGCTGTGGAGAAATGTTTCCCCGCAGTCGCGCCAGCGCCGCCTCTACCGCGCTAAGCGAATGGGAGGGGGCTGGGTCGCCCTGCGCTGAGGGAAGGGGGCGGCCGCGGGCCCGACTACACCGACACTAATTCCCAGGCCGCCCTTAAGGAATGAGGGGAGCACGTGACCTGGTGGGGGGGCGGCGGGGGGAGGGGGCGGGCGGACTCTGAGCCATTTTGGAGCCGGTGTCAGTTTCCACTCTGCCTTCAGCGGTGCATTTTTTTTTCCACTCTCCCCTCCCCCTCCTCATCCTTCCTCCCCTCCCCCCGCCTCTCCACACGCACACACACGGTGTCCCCCCTTCTTTCTCCACCCCCCCAGCAGCTATGAAATAATAATCGTAGTATTAAAGGCAGAGATCGGGGCGAGACAATGGGGATGTTGGCGTGGGAGCCCCGATCCGGATTAGAAACACCTCCCAGCCCCGCAGAATAATACTGATCGCGCCCCCTCCGCACACTCCCTCCCCCGAGTGCGGAGCAAAAGGAGGAGGAGGCGGCCGAGAAGGAGGAGGAGGAGGAGGCCCAGGAGGAGGAGGCGTTGGAGGCCGAGGAGGAGGAGGAGGAGGAGGAGGAGGCCGAGGAGGAGGAGGAGGCCGAGGCGGAGAAGGAGGAGGAGGCCGGGCTCGGGAGCCAGCATGAGCTGAGCGCGGCGGCCGAGGCTCCTCTCGGCTGCGCTCGTTGCCCATTGACAGCGGCGTCTGCAGCTCGCTTCAAGATGGCCGCTTGGCTCACATTCATTTTCTGCTGAACGACTTTTAACTTTCATTGTCTTTTCCGCCCGCTTCGATCGCCTCTCGCCGGCTGCTTTTTCCGGGTACGTAGGAGGCGAGGCTCCTCCGGGACGGGGACGGAGGGCGGCGGGGGCCGCGCGGGGCTCGGGCCG